ACCCGCGAGCGAGGTTCCGGGCTGGGAAGGGGCGTCGCGGGAGGTGACACCGGGAGTAAGGGCGTGTCGCGTGGGGAGGACCCCTGCGGTGGGTCAGGGAGTGCACGGTGGGTCCCCGTGGAGGAGGTGTGTGAGGGCACCCAGGGATAGCCTGCGTGGAGGCGTTCTGCGTGTAGGGCAGGGGGCAATGGGGATGGCCCTGAAGTGCTCAGAAGGATCCCGTGGTGGCGCTGGGCAGGGATCCATAGGGACCTGGCATGTAGCGAGACCACTCTTGTGGCGCCTCCAGTTGCTGGTTTTGGGGCCCGGGGGTGACTGAGGTGGTAGGACTTAGGGACATGGTGATACTCTCCACTTGGGCTAGGGACAAACAGAATAGGGGGCAAACTGGGGGTTGTACGGTGAGACTCTCTGGCCGAGCTGGGACAGGGCACACGGTGCCAGCCCACAGCAGGGGACCAGCCACAGTTTAAAGTGAAGCAGAGGCACAGAGGAGGGGTGTTCTAATGGGGCAGGGATGCCCAGAAAACACATCTTGGCACATGGGGAAAGGCAAAAAAATGGGGGACAGAAAGGGAAAGAAAGCTGAGCAGGCAGAGGTGCGCAATGGACCTCCCATCCCTTTGAAAAGGGGATGCTGGGTAGGGTAGCCCCGAACTGAAGGCACAGGGAGGGTGGGAACCGACAAAGCCCACTGACACCCCCTCTCCTCTGCAGGCGAGAAGCCCTACCACTGCACCTGGGAAGGATGTGGCTGGAAATTCGCCCGCTCCGATGAGCTGACCCGCCACTACCGCAAGCACACAGGGCACCGGCCGTTCCAGTGCCACCTCTGCGAGCGGGCTTTCTCCCGCTCGGACCACCTCGCTCTCCACATGAAGCGGCACATGTGAGCGGTGCCTGCGGCCGGACTCGATGTCCCCGGAGCCAGCTCACGGTGTAAATAGTGTCGGGCCAGGGATGGCATTGGGGAGCAGCCTGGCCACCCAGCCCCCTCCGCTTGTAGTTGATAACTAGTTTTCTCCTCCTGCTCCTGTGAGAGCTGGCCCAGCCAAGTGGTGGGGAAGGGCTGCTTTGGGGATGTATGTGGGGAGCAAAACTGCGAGAAACATCTGCCCAGTCATCACCACTCAGCTCCCCATGCCTGGAGGGTTCCCCCCAGCCAGGTACCCAGTGAGTGGGGGAGCTGGTGCATAAAGGGGTCTGTCCCCAGAACTCCTGGCTTGTATTTGGCATCAGCTTAACCTTCTTCCCCCCAGATTCTGGCACCCCCCTGGCTCTAGGGGCTGTGGTGGCTGACTCTGGCTGCTTTTTGGCTGGAAAGCCATGCCAGTTGGGCACATTGGTTGTGTTGCTGGGAAATGGGTTGCTGGTTGTCTCGGTTGTGATCATCAGAACAAACCTGACCCAAAGCCCAGAGTGGATGGGGTGAGGGTGGGATTTGACTGGCTCATGGCTATAAAGGTTTGCAGGTGTTGGCAGGACAGTGTCACCTTGCACAGAGGACAGGGAAGCTCCTGTCACCAACCTGGGACCCCTCTGGCCATTCCCAGTTTTCCACTCAAGAGCCTAAAATGTCTCTCCTGGCTCTTGTCTGCTTTATTTTGTCTTGTTCTTCCCCTCAGGATGACACCAGGTACTGCTGCAGCTGCCTTCCCCATGCTGCTTTTTAAAATTTAGTATGTAAAGGACAGTGAGTCCAGCTATGAATGCCCAGGTCTCTGCTATACTTGAAATTTTTGTAGGGGGGGGGATAAAAAAGAAAGCTCAAAAAGAAAGCTCAAAAGAAAATGAGTCTTTTTATGTGCAGCTTCTGCAAAGCAAGTTGTAAATTAAACAAAGCAGTAATATATAATGTTTCTCTTTTTTTTAATATATTTTTTCCAGCTGGGAACACAGATGAGTCTCAGCTTTGGGAAGTGCACTGTTCCCGTCTGTGTATATTGTTAATTAACATTTCTCTGCTTGGGCACGTTAGGTCTCTTGCACTCTGAAATGTTACTTTTCTTTATATGCAAACTGTTGAAATATTGTGATCTGCTGTATAATAAATAAACAAGATGTAAACATGAAAGAGCCAGGAGAGTTTACTTTAAAGGTTTCTTCTAAGAGGAGAGGGTGAGGCTGAGCTTGTTTGTCAGTAAATATTTACATCGATGTTCATTTCTGCTTAAGTTAGCTGCGGAGGATCGATGGGGAACGCCCAAGCCTCGGCATCTGAGTAGCATCTCCTGTGCAACAGCTCTTGAGTCACCTCACTTCCCTGTGCCTCAGTTTCCCTAATCTGCAGATGGGGCAATTGCGGCACTGGGATGGTGTGACTGGTCCTGCGGTGAGTCATCTCTGTGGAGAATGGCAGCCGAAACTCAACTGAGAGCCCTGCTGGTCCTGAATTCTTCCTGAGCAGTCCTGTCCTGCTGTGCCTCACAGTGGGAGCTGTGCAGCACTGGCCTTGTGGTCACAGCCAGCAGGGATGTTGGTGTCAGTTGGTCCTGGGTGCTGTCTCTGCTGTCCTCCTGGGGATGGCCTGGCAGCTTGGCGGGGTTCAGGTGCTGAGGTTTCCCTGCGTTAATAGGTGGTGACTCAGCACAAGCATGCTGGCAGGTCCCGGAGCTCAGCAAGCAGGTCTGGCTCCATCCCTCCCTCCCTCCCACAGCTGATTACCTGTGATGCACGAATCCCTCTGAAGGCAGGAACTTGTCCAGACCTGACACCATGCTGGCAGTGCAGGGAGCTGTATGATGCCCTGGCCTAGGATGGTGGTGGCAGTGGCTCCCTCCTGCTGCTCCTCTCTGTAACCCCCAGCAGCTGGTCAGGGCTGGAGGGTGCCCTGGCGCTGCTTGCCCTGCAAGTGGAAGTGGGATATAGCTGGGCTGATCCCACTCTTTCCTGCTCAGATGGGAATGGCAGAACAGGTCTGATGTTCCCCTGAGGAGTGGCTAATATTTTGGTGTTGGACTCTGTTCTGGGACCAGCACCCACCCTTGTGATCTGCCCTTGAGCAGGTACAAAAGCATGGGTGATTCCAGACGGGGTGGCAGCAGCTTGGGACATCACGTTCTGCCTGTAGGCCTGAGATCAGGACCATGGGGCTGCATCCACAGGTGTCACAGATCCGTCAGGCTCAATCACTTGTCCTTTCCACTGCTGTCTCCACCCTCTGCTTGTCCCACTTTCTGAGAGGTGCTTGTGTAGAGGTGACTGTGCTGGGACACATGTGGTCTGTGATGAGGTACTGGGGGTGTCCTGTTCCTGGGACCACCAGAACCCAAGGACAAGGCTAAAATGCCAGGGGATAGCTGGGGCAAAACTTCTGCCTCTTCCCTGGAAACTTGTTCAAAACGTCACATGGAGGGAGAGGGAAAGGTGTGGGCTGTTTGAATTAGCGATGAGTCAGGCTGGCAAAGCCAGATGGGGAGAGTGCGTGCCTGCGTGTTTGTGTGCGTATAAGTAATCTCTGGCTTTGTGTTTTTATTATGATTATTATTTTTATTTCCAGGGGAACGATGAATTTCTCCAACCATCCTGTCCCACTGGAAAGGCTGGCTCTGCTGTCCTGTCCTCCCTAAGCATCCTGGGAGCTGGAGTGACGGTTCACGGCTGTTTTGAGGTTCAGCTCTGAGATCAGAGCACAAACCAGTTCTTTCTCGCCTTTCATCATTGTTGTGCCAGGGCAGGAGTGAGGTCCGGCTCTGCTGCCACTGCCTACATGGGGAGGCAAGAGCAGGGGAAGGTGCTTTGGGCTCCTCCAAACAGAGCTGCTCTGGGTTTGCTCCCCTGTGCCTGGGGCAAGGCACTCCTTCAGGCACATGATGGGGCACGGCAGCCAAATGGACCAGCAATGCTGGGAATCACCACTGCATGGCTGGGGAGGAGTGGCTGTAGTGGAAAAGACAATTACGGTTAATTTGTTGTTAATAAAAAACACCCTCTTCCAATTGCCTGGGCTTAGACACACTCTCCATTGGAGAAGCGAGGCCAGTCCTGTCCCCAGTAAAACCTGCCCTGCAAAGTGATGAGGGCAGCAAGAAAACACCTTTGGCAGCACTGAGGGAGGCACGGCTGGGGTGCAATCCCTGTGGTGTGTGCACCTGCTGTCAGCTGGAGAACCCTAAGCTAGGCCATGTCTCCCTTCCTTCCTTTTCCACCTTGGTCACTTCCTGTCAAAAAGGACCCTGGGAACTGTGCAGAGATCTCTGAAACTTCTGTAACTCTTCAGCCCCAAGGTTTTGGGGTACAGCTGACCTGGTCCAATGAGGAGGCAAGGGAGTAAGGGAAGGAGCAAGGTATGGAGAAACACCTCCTAGCAGAAGTGTGAGTCATGGCCACAGTATGGCCTGGCACCTGCCAGTTGGAACAGGACCCTGGGGTCTTCAGAGCTGGGGAGGGGTGAATGAGAAGCTTGAGTGAGTTTCTGTTGTCTAGGGATGACCCAGCTCATGGGGGTCCCCCACGCTACAGCCTACAGGTTCCACAGCTGGTCTGGGATTGTTGATCCATAGGGAGAAGGAGTGTTGCAGATTTGAGGGTTTCTTAGCCAGGACTTGACCTTCAGGATGCTGTGGTCCATGGGGACAGCACAGAGCTGGGGAGGGGACCAGAGTGCTGTGGGTAGGATGCAGCCTGGGTGCTCCAGGGTGGGAGGATAATTTGGGGGTGCTTGGACAGGCTGACACAGACCATTCCTCACCGTGAGGCCAGAGCTTGAGTCCCTAGGACCAAGGTGTCTCTGCTGAAGTCTGCTCCCAGGGCTTGAGTCTCCCATTGCAGGAGCAGTGGGAAGTGCTCTCTACCATGGGGGGAAGGTCCAACAACCTGTCCCCGTGTCCATGCTGCTTGGGGTGGGCCAGGTGCCACGATAACGGAGCTGTGGCTGTCACCGCACCCTTAGGAAACATTTGGCTTCAGGCACCTGAAGCCACGGGGGAGCGATAACTCCCGTCTCTCTTGCCCTGCCTGGACCCACACCTGGCGCTGTCGTGCCTTAGTCACACACCGAGAGTTTTTCCACTGCTGGGCCCCAGATAACCTTCTCCTGCCCCACTGGCCACAGTGTTTGCACTTGTCCTCCTCCGCTGGTGCCAGGCTGGGAGACACACACGCCCTGAGCCCTGGTCAGAAGGCACGCACACCTCTGGCCTGGGGCCACCTTGGGTCATGCCTGGCAGCCAGGGCAGGGGTAAAGGGCATGAGGTGAGGTGCATCCTTCCCCAGGTGGGTGAGGAGCTGGCCTGGAGGGAGCCTTCCTGCCAGGGCTAAATCTGGGGGCACATCTCTCCCCCAGTTGCTTGGTGGCTGATCACTCTGGATCCCTGGTATCCAGGACAGCTGGAGGTGGGTGATGGTGTTGCAGTGACAGGACAGTGATGCCAGAGTTCCAGGGCACAGAAGTGCTGAACTCCCTGTCGCTGCTGGCTTTCCCTGATTCCCTGCATTCCCTCCATACTCCCTGTGCCCTGGCGAGGCAGGACCCTGGTGGTCAGATCTGGGCACAGTCCCAGTGCAGGACTCTCAATGACGAACCAGGTACGTGACTCAGCCTTCCAGCCTTTCCCCTTTGCTCTGTGCTAGCTTGGGGATGGTGGCCATTAACAATAACTCCAGGCCAGAAACAATAACTGCGGGCCCCCCTGCAGCAGTGCTAATTGCTCTGCTGATGAGCCCATTAGCAGAAGCACCCGGCTAATGTGTTTCACCTGCGGGTCCATACAGCTCCGGGTGGGACACAGCTCCCGAGGCTCACTGAGGTGTGGGGGAGGCAGGCCAACAAGTGGGAGATATAATCAAAAACCAGCGCTGAATGGCCCCATCTGTCTCAAGGTTTTATTTTTGGAACTGGTTTTTGTTTTCTTTAAGTGCCGTTTTAACAGGATGAACGACTGTGAACAACCGAACAACTCGTGGCAAAAAGAGAGGCCCTTTTTTTGGTATTACAAAGCTCTCCATGAAACCGCAGTGCCAGGCTAGCCAAGCAGGCAGAGACCGCAAAAGTTGGGAAAGCCTTGTGTCCTTCTGCAAGCCCACCTTGGGGGAGTATGGACCCCACTTCCAGGCCAGCTGTGGCAAGAGAGCAAGGAAATGTGCTAGAAATTATTATCAATGTCCACACACACTGATGGGGGAGGACTTGGGTAGGTGAGGCAGAGCTGAGAGCAAATAGGGCAGGCAAAACCTCAGGAACAGCTCTGTCCTTGTGGGAAGGGTGCTAAAAGCCATCCCTGGTAGTGTGGAAAAGGGATTAAATTATTTCTGGGGACAACAGACGGTACTCTGGGGGTGTCACCAGTTCCCATTGTGGCACACGGGCATTGTTTGTGCCCTGCTACAGAGGTGATGTGCCAATCCTCGTGGGAAGGGCTCACCAGCAGGATGGGAACGGTGGTAACTTCAGCACAGCCTGGCAGGCATTGAGGGATTCCGTGCAAGAGCGAGTAGGGTTCAGCTCATCCCAGGGCTGCAAGGAGAAGAGATTCCCCTCAGAGGCACCCCTCTCCTAGGATGGCGGGCAGGTCCCGGTGTATCTCTGCCCTGTGCAGAAACCATCTGCTTGAGGTGAACTCCTGTCAGGCGGCCGTGCCCAGCCTCGGTCTCTCGCAGGAAGGTGATTCATGAAGTCTCTCCTGGCCCCACACCACTGTTTGCTCCCCTTTCCTTCTTCCCCTATCGCTTCCCACAGGGAAGAGGAAACAGGACAGTATTATTAATAAAACTCTCGCTCCGTGAGCCGTGGCTCTGGCTGGCTCCTGGCACGGCTGCCGGGCAGAACGGGACAGGGCAAAGCCGCCAGCGAGCACCTCGGGAAAGGAGACGGGAAAACTCCTGATGAGAAACCAGGGTC